TTTGGTATTATTATGAGAGGAGAGGGTGACGTCATCATCTGCAGTTTCATTTAAATTTATTTCTTCCTTATTTGATTGGATTTCTGCAGTTTCATTTGGATTTATGTCTTCCTTATTTGATTGAATTTCTGCAGTTTCATTTGGATTTATTTCATCCTTGTTTGATTGAATTTCTGCAGTATCATTTGGATTTATTTCTTCCTTATTTGATTGAATTTCTGCAGTATCATTTGGATTTTTTTCTTCCTTATTTGATTGAATTTCTGCAGTTTCATTTGGATTTATTTCTTCTTTGTTTGATTGAATTTCTGCAGTGTCATTTGGATTTATTTCTTCCTTATTTGATTGAATTTCTGCTATAGTTTTCCGATCGATAATTATTTGATCTTCGTCTGACGACGTTTCTTCTGAATGTACTAATTGCCATTCTTGTTCCTCTTCTTTTGTTCCTTGAACCACATCATCGGACTTCATAACTGGAGGTGGTGGAACGCAAATCACATGATTGAAGTGTCCACCAGAATCAGGGTGAGCTTCCTCATCATGATCCAAAACCCACTGGCCATCAACAACAAATTTATAATAATAAGGAGTGCTTGATTTTAAATTAAGAGTAATAACAAAATTGGATGAACCATCCGATTTTGTCATGGGAATTGGACTCCATGGTGAATAAGGGTCGTCAAAACTTCCGGCTATAGATACATTTGAGCCCCAATGCGGCCATTTAAATGTAAATGGAACGAACTCGGAATGGCTGGCGTCCGGCATGATGATCAACGGAGAATCTAGCAAAAAAAATTTAAATTCAGCGTTATTATCGTAAAATATTAAAGGTCCGACTATTCACAGTTTATTTTTTGATCAACCAATCAAAATTAAGAAACATCTGTATTATACACAACCAATTAAACCCAGTCTATGATGGCCTTTTATACTTGTTACAAAGATTTTACAACCATTTAATCGTATCTTTATACATTATATGTATATGTATATAGGAGAATTCTTTCATACCTTAAAAAAATAAAAAGTTTTTTCTCCCCGCACGATTATAATAACAATCTTTTACGAAAGAAAAAAAGAGTGAGGAAAAAATGAAATAAAGGGCACTTATTTATTTAATAGTCAAATGATTTAAGATAAAGTTGGAAGTGAATGACAAAGTTCAAAGATACTTAAGGAATTATAAGACCCAAATGAGGAATTGGTACTTTACTAGAAAAAGTGATAATAGACGTTATTGAAATTTGATCCTTTATTTGTGAGGAAGAAACATATGTTATCGTTAATGAAAAAAGTAACGATTTTTGACTTATCTTTCGTCAATAGATTTTCACATGCTGTTAGTAAATTTACATGCACTTAAGGACAGTGTCGTCACAGTGCATATTATTGGCCTCTTCGCATCTGATAACCGATATCGGTGCATTATTTTTTGTTAGATATACAGTATATACGTACCGGTACGTATAATATATCGATATACAGTATATATATACGTACGTACACATTGATATACTACTTTATACTATATATAGAATGTGATTTCTCGTGAAACTAGAAAGGAGTTTGATTACTTAACACGCGAACATGCTTTAATCATGAGAATTTCAAAAGTTGCGAAAAGCTAATTAATTAAGTATAAATGAAAATTTTGCGGATGATGCTGAAATCGGATGATTCTGAAATTTTAGACTCTATTGGACACACCTAAATTATAGCCCAACCTTTAAAAAAAAAAAAAAAAGAAAAAAGAGTACCCCAAAATTTAGCATCATCCTCGACAAAAATTAGCAATAATCGTGTTTGATTTTTGATAAACTTGATTCTTTGTTTAAAGGAAATAGATATTTAAAGTATGTAGTTGATTTCGGCATGATCGGAAAAATCACATTTGATTTATAAAAAATTCATTTCGTTATATCGATATATAAGGTGAGTGTGGGTGTTATGGCGAATGTGGGTATTGAATTGAACATATTACAAGGAAACATGATTTTTTTACTAACGCTAAACTCGAAGTTTATCCATTAAGTAAAGTTATTGTAAATTCCATCTTTTATTTACCCTCAAACTTTGGTGCATTTCGGATAACTTTTTATTAAGAGGTTTTTTCATTATCCACTTTGGCGCAGAAATTAATTTTTGCGCCAAAACGTATAATGCACCAAAATTTGAGGGTAAGTAAAAGATAACATTTTGAACAACTTTACTTAGTAAAGTTCGATTGGCTTAGTAGAAGAACCCCGTTTTAAGTATAAACCGATTTTTAATTAAAGAAAATCATCAAGGTCAAGGTCACATGATAGAAATAATGAAAAAAGATCGTCGATTTACATACGTTAAGTAACAGATTTTTTTTTATATAATTGTTAAGCAAGATAAAATTCATATAAATTTTTAAAAAAAATGATCAAAAAAGATTTTAACTTTTATTAGTAGGAAGTGTTAGCTTCGCCATAGTGTTACAAATCGAAAGTTGAAAAAACGATTAGTTGGTTGAAAACTAATCTTAACAGATTGAGCTTTTTATACACCAACTAATTGATTAATCGATTGTTGCAATGAATCGATTGAAAAATTATTTATTTACTTGATGAATTAGTTGATCGATTAGTTACAACTCATCGATTAATCGATTAGTTACCAACTAATCGATTTGCCAATTTGTAACACTTAATACGCACACTCACCTTATATACTTGTTAACCCCTGTAGTTAGTATCATGTGATAAATTAACCACCAATGCAAGTAATGCTGTAGTATCGCTAGTAGCGATAGTAGCGATAATAGCGCTAGTAGCGCTAATGCTTACTCTTAAAATTAGTGGTTCTGGTAAAATTGTAATTTGTAAAAATAGTAACAGAAAGCGGAGGGCCAAAAGGTATAAATAGACTTAGATATTTCTCTTGTAAAGAACAGAACTCGAAGTTCCAACAACTTGACAATAAATAAAGAGTAAATCGTGTCTTCATACACGAACAACTCGAATACTTTATTGAATAAAACCCCAGAGAGTAATCGTGTCTTCATACACGCATAACTCGAGACTTTGTTGAATAAACTGTACACTTGTTAATACGACTATCTGTATCTCTATATACATTTAGCCGTTTGCCTCTTTCGTAATAACAAATCACTCAAATCCTCTTAACAGCGTAACCGCAACTAACCTTACACTTTACTTAGCATAAATCGGCATTCGTTATTAAAATCTATAATATAAAACCGTCGCTATAGTAAAACGTTATACCGGACTCATAAGAGGTAGTTCCGGGTGTAACAATACTGTATATAGTTAAAAAATCTTTTTTTATAGCGGTATAAAATTTTATTTTATCTATATAGCCAATTCTTCGCAATAGTATATTGCATTTAGAGTACTTATTATCACGCGTTATAGTTAGACTTCTCTACGTATATAGAAGCGAACATTTTCAAGAAGTATTTATGGAGGGTTTACTCTCTATAACTCAGAAACCTCATGTTTCTTGACATCTTCCGAAATTTTCAGACGTTCCTAATAATATTACCGACCTAAATTAAACGTATACTACAGTGATTTGACCCGAGTTGGATTGTTACCACCTGAGTGAACAACCCGCTCAATTTGTAGGTCAACCCGCAAGTAAAGTTGTCAAATGGTTTATGCAATAGTTCATGTTGATCTAAATATATTTTACTTAAAGCCTTTTCTGTCCCATTCATAAAAATTTTGCCCGACGTTCTTGGTAAAAGTCGTTTTGTAAGTCAAAATTTGATAATTCCAAATCAAACGAAATTAAATAAAAATACTAAAGATAATTTTAAATACTTAGATTAATAAACGTCGGAATGATCGGGACTCCGGGTGAAATTATTAGTATAATGTTAATATTCACAAATTTGAATTACTCCAAATCATTAGTGAATTTAACTATTAAATTAACCATGAACATAAAATGAGTATAATACTAGGAAAGGACACAACAAGGGCATGGGCATAGTGTTTCAAATTAGTCAAAATTTTCAAATAAATTAGTTGTCAAATTAGTTGCTGATTAGTTGCAACTAATTGTTATATGTTTTTGATAAATTTGATTGTCAAATAAATAATCATATATTTTTTGTATCAATTTATTGGTTAAAGAAATTAAATGTTTAAATTTTATTATATAGATAATTAATCAACAATTAGTTGGTTAAAAATTTTTTTGATTACTATATTGGTATACTTATAAAGATCAAAAGGCATATTTATATACAGTATATATATTTTTTATTTTTAAAGCAAGATTATACCCTCTGTACCTTTATTAATATTTTTAATTATAGTATATTTATTACAATATAATACAACTAAGTTTTTAACTAAGGAACAGAAGTTTTAAACTACTTATCTGTGATTTAAATTTTACTTAGTAAGATCTAACCTGTTATAAACCTAAATGAGATTTTTTATATACTAATTGTTTTTATTAATATTTTTATATACAAATAGATATTACAACTAAGGTTTCATAATAGAGATTACTTTCTAATTTGGTGTTAAACATTAAATTTTTTTTAACTTTGGTAGTCTTGCCAGTGATCCTTTATTAAGATTGTTTTGTTACAGGCTATACAAGATACTTTAAGCTTAACATTTAGGCCTGACATCCTGCAATTACTTCTATAAGCACTTACAAGCAACCTGCTGCACTAGACTAATAAATCTACAAGAAACATATTATGGCAAATCAATGAAAAATTCAAAGACCACCTATTCTAGAAAGCTATATCAGACCACTGCCCTACAATAGGATATCGCCAATCTGATGACATCTTCTTGTAGAAAAGTGAAAAAAAAAAATTTAATACTAATACTAAAAAGTATGAAAATGAAAGAACGAAAGTAAAAAAAATCTGATAATCACAATTATAAACCTGTATCTGTCAGACATTAATTAGTATTTTTTTAAATATTTAATTTATTAGTTAATCTAATATACTTCTAATTATTTTTTATCTGCATTTACTAATACAATTTTATACTTATATATAAACTTTTTATAGAACTTTGCATTTAATTATAGTCTTATATAGATTAAATAGTATTATTTATCATCTAATTATTGTTTATCAAAGGCTTATCACTTTTTTTTCTTTTTTTTTTATAATTCAATGATCCTGTCTCTGTTTATTTAAGATTAAGCTATTCTAGAAATTTATATTACTATCTATAGCTATTGCTAATTTAATCAAACAAGATATTAATCTACAGCTTTTGTCCAAATACAACTGTCTTAGTAGTTCTTGATCTCCTTCTGGATCCTTAACTTGCTAAAGATCTATTTTTCTTTGGTCATTAACTGTCAACTACTCACCTTGTTAATACTATTTAATTATATTTATATTTCACAATGTAATTGCACTTTGGCTATGATCAGTGTTTATGAACAATGCAAAACATCAAATTACTAAACTTAAAATAAGATTATTATATTATATACTTTCTATTTTATATATATCACAAATTCTACTACTACTTAATTTTTCTTGTAATTTTTTAAAGTTGGTTTTATTCATCTTTTTATATTTCTTTTTTTTTTCTACAAATAGTCTGCTTTGGCACTTCAATTTTTTATTTTTTCTCTTCTTTTTGTGTTTTTTTCTAATTTTTAGACTTCACTTTATTCTTCTTACTCTTAATAGTATTCTTTATATAAACTTTCTTCAGAAATATTTTTTTATAACTCTTTTCTTCTTCTAGTTTCTCTGACACTATACTTGATTCTTCTGCTTCTAGACCTTAGTTAATATGTTTAAGTCTTCTTTTTTCTTTTGTTAAGATTTCGTGTTTTTTTTTCTTCTACATTATAGTCTTAATTTTCTTCAAGAAAACTTCTTTTAAATTCTTATTACTTCTCTTGATTTCTTAATACTTCTAAAAACTTTACTATTGTTTCAGATATAAATTTTTTTTTTTTTCAATTTTTAATTCTTCAAAACTGTATATCTGTTTTTCTTTTTACTCTATAAGCTTGCTTTTCTTTTATAAGACTTCTTTTGTAAACTGATATACTTTTTTTAATTTCTAGCTACTTTTCTTAAGATTTTTCTACTATTCTAAACATAATGCTTTTTTTTTAATTTTTAACTTTTATTGTTTTTTCTGCTATTATATTTTGCAAAATATTTTTTTTTTTAGTTTTGCTGATATTTGTTAAAGATATAGTCTGTCTACTCTATATATTTAAATTTTTCTTTTTCTTTTTAATATTATTTTGTTTGTTTTTCAAGCTTATTTAATATATAATCTCTACTATCCACTTTAATATTTTCTTTTGTAAGTTTTTAATTTGTATATTGTTAAGGTTTTTGTCTTCTATCAAAGGTTGTTACTAAGGTTTCTCAAAATCAAATTAAATCAAATATTAGACTTATTTAAATTTGATTTGATTTGAAAATCTGAATTTAAATTTGATTTGATTTAAAAAATCTGTATTTGAATTTGCTTTGATTATTTGATTTTAAAATTTTAAATCAAATTAAAATTTTAGCTATTTATAAAAATCTTTAATTTTCTTAAAATTTTATTAAGCTAATCGATTTAGTATATTAAATAAAATATGTTCTTCTAATCAAAATATTCCTAGTTTTATAAAACTAAATTAGCAATTGTTTTAATAAAATTTTAAGAAAATAGTCTTTAAAACTATAATTTTTTAAATTTTAATTATTTATATAGTCAAACCTCTCTAAATGCAATCTCTTTAAATATATATCTATATAAAACCTCTTTAAATGCATGGCTTTTTTGAGTCTAACTAATATAACACTTATAGATTTTTACTTCTCTAAATGCATAATCTCTCTAAATGCATGTTTTGCTTAATTTTTACTATAGTTTCAATACTATACATTTAGAGAGGTTTGACTGTAAATATCTTCAATTTTCTTTAAGCTAATTGATTTTGTATATTAAATAAAAAATGTTCTTCTAATCAAAATAGCACTAGTTATATAAATCAAATTAGTAATTGTCTTAATAAAATTTTAAGAAAATAGCTTTTAGAGCTATTATTCTTTAAATTTTAACTATTTATAAATATCTTCGATTTTTTTAAAATTTTATTTATTTATTTTTTTTTTAATATTAAGGTGACCTTTTTGCTACACTGCTCTTTATTTAAATATTAGTAGTATTTTTAACTATCAGAACATTCTGACAGCTATACATATTTGTAGAATATAGCTAGCCATATCTGCATCTTTTGAATACCTATTTAAATATCTGCTTATTACTAGGTTCTATACTAGATGCTATATCTGCACTTCATTAAGGAAGTACTTATTTAAACTTTCTGCATCTATATATCAACTCTTTTATATCTAAACAATAATACTTAGTATTACCTTATTTTTACATGCTGGCTTAGAGCTTTAAAGTGGTTTCAACTATATATGCCACCAAAATAGATTTTCAAAAAACCCCTATTTCGTCTCCATTAGAGCAATTTAGAATTTTTTATATGCAATAGCAAATCTAATTTAGGTAGTTATGTTCTTTATAATTTTATCTCTTCAAAAAAAGTGTCAAAAAATTTCATCTTTAAGTAAAGCAGGTCAAAAACAATTTTGTTTTCAAATTTTAATTTTATACTCCAAAACCTAAAATAATTTCGTCGGCACATATAGTTTTAACTATTTTAGACCTTAAGGTAAACCTGCTAGAGTCTTCCATATTTATATTTAGACTGACTTAGGCTTTAGTAACTTATGTCTAGTCCAAGAACAAGTACTTGTAGCTTTTTATTTCTGCTACTATTACCTACTTCTGCCTTTGTAGAGTTTATTCATGCCCAGCTTCAGTATTTATTTAATCAGAAGCTCTTCTACTGTTTTACCAAACTCTCAATCCAGATAGTTCAGTTTGGTTCATAGATTACGTTACCCACTTTCCTACTGGTTTAACCTAAATACCAGCTTATGCCTTTTTTTTTCAGTCAATTCCGGCAGTCTGATTAGTATAGTATTCACCAAATACCAGGTCCTTATTCAGATCTGCAGCTTTTTGGTCTCTTCTTAGACTTTTCAGAACTGTCAAAAGTATATACTACTTCTCTACTTGGAACTTGCCAAGCGGATTTCTATTCGAGACTTGTCACATGAATTTATACAAGTTACAAGAACTTATTGTAGGTTTATACCGCCTTTATTAGTTTGTATCCCTTTGTATAACTTCTTTATTATACAAATACCCTATGATTTTTTAAGTCTATACTATTATCCTGATAGGGCTTGCGAAATTAGCAGTCTATTAAGTGATCATTATCTCTTGCACCTATTTAGTCTAACTGTTATTGCAGAATCTATATCTCAACACCAAATAGTTATTATTATACAGAAGAATTCGATTTTTTGTTGTCAGGAAAATTGAACTCTGGATATACGATAATTTATTACTTTACTAAGTCATCACACTCTTCTTAAAATTTTATTAAGCTAATCGATTTTGTATATTAAATAAAAAAATGTTTTTCTAATCAAAATAGCCTCTAGAACTATCTCTTAAACTATTCAGCAGGCAAATTTGCCTGCTAGAATTTTTTTATACTCAATTTTGTAAAATTGCACCTGACTTTTTTAGACAACACCTCCCTTTTTATATGCTCAAATGAAAGAATATGGTTTTGTATACTGATCTGTGACTTTATCTTAAAGGATTAGAAGCATGATAAATATTT